AAACGTCAATCACAGCGACTGAGTAGTGAGCGCATGGAAATATCTTTGCTCAAATAGTTTGTGTACAGATGTTTGAGCCTGAAGAAACTTGCCATGTGTTTTTGTAGCTAAGGAAGTGAGTAATCAGTGAAACTAGTATGGGTGGTATAGGAAAATCATGCACATGGTCTTGGCACAGCTGTGTGCTTGCTACATTCCATGAGATATTTCATAATGGAAAACCAACTGCTCCACCAATATAGGATACCTGCATATCAGGCATACGTTGTGAAGCACCCAGTGAAGTCACAGGACCTTACAGATTAGGCCAGTAAATCTCAAGTGAACAAGAAAGGCAAAAGAAAGGCCACAGATGTTGACTCAAAAGAGAGAGGAAAACATCCTGTTTAATGTGTTTAAATGTCTGGGAGTGTTTATTGCTTAACTAATTTTTATCAACCAAATTTTACAGGGCAAAAGTATAAGTGGGCAAGATGGCAATTAAGTCAGCAGAACAGTGTAGCTAGGTGCAGTAGCAGGAAATTTGGCCTTGTGCCTAGTTAACAAGGGTGCAAGCCCCCGTGACTCAAATGGTTTTCTGCTGGTCAGATTCCTCCTTTGAAATTGCTTGTTTCAGATATTTTTCTATTTGTTTTATGTGATTTACACAGAACATTGTGCAGTGAATGATCTGTCAGGAAACAGCAATAAACATACGCTGCCACTCTCTATGGTGTTTCGTTGTTAGCGTTTTTAATTAAAATATTTGCTTTAAATCCGTGCATACATAGATTGTGCTTGTTGCAGTTTATTCATCCACATGTGGATGTCTTCAATAGTTTCTTGAGTTACCAGTTCCTCAGTACTTTGAAAAACGAATGCTAATCTGTGTGTATCTCCAACTATATTGGAACATTTTATGGCAGCTGAAGGTCAACTCCAGAGCTTCTGTGTGTCTCAGAGTATTCGTGCCACATTGCAGCTATGTGGATGGGATGATATGCAAGTTTATGAACAGATATTATATGTATGAACAGGATACAGGAATTGGCAAAATAGGTAAAAATAAGATTTAACTAGTTTAACTCTTTGGAGTCCTGAGAATTTGTATCTTTCACATAAATGTGTAGATAGCTCAATCAACCAATTAATCCAATGATTTTTTGACTTCAAAAATCTTAGTGGTTGACCAGAAGTGTTACCTTTTCGTGACATTCAACCAGGCCCTGTGCTGATAGTTCAGCTACTGGGCTGCAGGTGGGCACCTGAAACTGTATGAAGGCTATGAAGGCTATTAAGGCTTAGGATGTGCCAAGGACTAACTTGTCAATTTAATGCCACTAATGATATGCAAGTTTTACCCTGTTTCTTTATTTCTTTATAAATTTAGTATCTTAGACTGTAAGCACCGCCTCAGGGAGAGCTATAATTGAACTACCTAATGGATGTGTGCACACTGGCAAGGAGAAATTATAATAACAATCTGATGTGGATAGAATGATGTGCAACTGTGTGCTCATTAAACAAAGGATTAGACACATCTGCAAGGAACCCATTACAGAAAGTAATTGAAGGGGCACCTCTGCATTAAAAAAAAAATCTGGGCTAGTCATTTCAATGAAGGATAATCTGTTTGTTCTATCAGTTATGATTTTATCTGAGATGTGGAAAAAAAATAAAAGAAGCAGGTCTGCGCCTAGAGGAATCTTAGTTTCATCAACAAATTTTTAAACAAACTTGAGGCTTTTCCTCCCATGCTGTAACCTGGCCTAGCTCTTAGTGATTGGAACAAGCTGAAAAGAAACACATTCAGGTCGTGTTGTTATTACTATTATCTGGTTTCTACCACTTCCCTTGTTGTGATCTGTATTTTTTATTTATTTGTTTTGGCTGCATGGATACCTTTGTGCTGAAATAGTAATACCTGTAATGTGCATCAGACTCATGCTTTTGTCTCTTGCCTCTTGGGATCTGCATTAGAGGTGGATCCTAAGCAGAAATCTCACTTATGTCACGGGGAAGGGCCTTTTTGCCTCTCTTTGCAGCTCCTCAGCATCCTCTTCCAGGCTCCTGTCCTCCCTGCCAGCCTTTGATCGGAACCACCGAGGCGGGATGGAGTTCAGGCAGGCTGGAGGAACTCTTGCAAGGAGTGCAGAGGTTCTCATGCAAGAAAATACTGTTTAAGGGTACTTTGCCATGTACAGTCTCTATAGTCTCCTGGATAGGGAATATTTCCAGTTGGAAAGAGACTCTGGTGCCCAGTGCCAGCAAAGCTTTGCTGACACAACAGAAAGTGATGGGCAGGGAGGAAGATAGGAAGCTCGGGGACTCCCTTACAGCAGTTGCTCCAAGTGAATGACCAGAGGCCAGGAGTGTGGAAGCCCACATTGCTGTGGCAAAGGCGCTTCCAAACCTGAATACTTGTATCTATAGATAGACCCAGTTAATGTATTTAGCTAGCTACCTTCTCCTTTCAAATACCCATGTACTTGTATCAGTGGGAATAGTTAAGCATCATTTTGTCACAAAGGAAATGGTTAATGATCTCATTTAAGATTTAGCTTGCAAAAGAAGCGGTCCAAAGAGAGCAAAGGATGTGGTTATATCAGGTATTGTGCCTTTCTGTGGAAACAAACTGCCTGCCCCCAAAAGGTTGCAATAATTCAGTGCAATGAGCACACTCAGAAGGCTGTCTGGAAGCCCAAAGCCTCAGAAATACTTCTTTTCAGCTTTGCAATGTAGTCTTAATATTTCACTGCATAAAATCTATAGCATAAAAATTAGTATTCCAAGTGTGAAAAGCTAATTTTAAAATAATCAGATATCTCAGCTGTTCCTAAAATCGGCCAATAGTGCTCACTGGTACAAAAATGAATATTTAACTCTTCTCTGTATTATCCCACTTAGGTGCCTACTCTGATCCCGAAAGGAAAATATTGAACTGCATATGCTGATCACTGAGTCACTAATTACATGTGTCTTTTTAAAATCAAGTTTCTTCAAAACTGGAAAGATACTATGTACAGAATTCTTTGTCTGTTCTAAGTTTGACATTTAAAAACAGCATATCAAAAGCTGATCTTTCCCAACAGCCACAGATTTTCCATCTTCTGCATTTTCTCCCATGGTTACTAACTGTATTCAGATAATGCTTAGAAAAATGTCAGGAAAACCTTTCCTAAAACACTCTAATCTGTGAGAGCAAGTATAGTTACTGTATTTTGTGACTGTGGTTTTAGGAAAGACTGTTAAGTGTGTATGTGTATAGCTGGGAGCATATGCTTAAATAACATTAAAAACCATGACATAATGTGTGTGCTGAAGAGCCTTCCGAAGTTAGAATATCAGAGGTCTTTGAGAGGAGGGCACCACTACCTTTGGCCTTCACTGTAGCATCACTGCCACAGTGATACACTCTGTCTCAGTTTATATGTGTTTTTCTTTTTTATAACATTATTTATCACCAGAATTCATTATTTCCTTTCCCAAGTACCACCCCTCTAAAAAAAAGTCTGTCAGTTTTATTAACCCAGTTGTTCATAAAGTTTTAGCTCTCTCTGTTAGACACTCTTCTGCATTTCTTATCAGCTTGTAGCTGAGACAATCTTACAAAAGACTGGAAGTTAACATTTTTGATCTTTCTAGCCTTTCCATCATAAATTATATCAAGCAATAACAGCCATGCAGTTCCAATGTTTTTGCTGCTTTAATACTTTCTCTATTTTGTTTAAGGAACAGTTTTTAGAATAATCCTGGCAATATTCCAGTAGGACTGTGCTTAAAGCACTTATACTTATTGACTGTTCTTACTGAGGCATGCTTATAAATCATTACTGTGCCCAGTCCCGTGACAGAGTGGTTATAATCATGTGAAAGTTTCAGCTGTGCATGCTATATACTGCATCGCGTTCTATTTCACTTCCTTCCTCTTACCATTAACACAATATATTAGGCTGAGAACGCGTTGTCCTTCAACCAGCTGTGAAGCCTTTCTTTTCCTGAGGATACGTTACAGGTAATTTCAGTGGTGCCAATGATGAGGCCTAAGCTGTAGTACCCAGCAGTGCTTCCCTCCTGCTGGAAAGACAGTCCCGTGCCCAATGGAGGTGGGAGCAGTGGTAGCCCAACACCCAGACAGACAGTCAAGGGAGCAGAGGTGCCAGACAGGCAGTAGCACAGCATATGCTCTGCTGTCTAGAAACAGCCAAGTTCAGTCCCAAATCCTGGTGATTCTTTTGATGTGGCAGAGCTGGTGATATAAAAAACATTTTCTTGCTAACTATGTTTGTAAGCCTGATTCTGATTTTAAGTAAAAGGAGGAAGCATTTGCCCTTGAGCTATATTACTACTTGACTTCAGGCTACCTTCCTAAATCTTTTCTCATTTCAAACACAATTTATGCCTTTCCTTTGTAGGTGCTGCGGTGTTACAGGCACTGAACAGTTGTTGCCTTCCATCATGGGGACATGTGCATTTTATTGGCCTGCAGCGGATCCTGGTCCATCCCACCTCAAAACATTTTTGGTCAATGTGTATAAAACCATAAGTACATATGTCTCCCCCAGCTTAGAGCAGCATCAACTGCAGTTCGCCTGTCCTGCATCAAGGCATGCAATTTGCCATTTCTGTGTGCTACCCACTGGCATGGTGTGATTAAACCCCTTGTTTTCCCTCTTACAGGAAAGAAATGTTCTACCCCAGTCCAAATGATATGGTGGGTAGGGAGAGGTTACTGCCAGGCCAAGGTCTAGTGGCATTTAATATCAGTGGCTGGGTTCTGCACTGCCAACAGAACGGTACAGGATTTCTAAGAGGTCTCTTATGTATGACGCAGAGGCAAGCTGTCAAGTTCTGTCAAGTTGACCTGCTGTCAAGTTCTTTTCTACCTTGTTTTTTTCCATTAGGATAAAGTTGAAGTAAACAAACAAAAGGGCTATTCACAGTTAACAGTGCTTCCCCCTTGCCCTACAGATAACAGAGTGCACCTAAATGGCTTCTACTCTGACCTCAGCAAACTGACAATGAAAAGAAGACGACTGTGGGATTATTCATTTCAGCCTCCCTGGATGATGGATGGAGACATATTCACTGCCACTTTGGTGCCATCTGGGAACATGACACCAAGTTCTAGCATGACCCTGGAACAGAAAACAACATTTGCCTTTGTGATTTTATTGTTTATCTTCTTGGGAATCCTCATTGTTCGCTGCTTCCGAATTCTCCTAGACCCCTATCAGAGTATGCCAACTTCAACCTGGGCTGATGGACTTGATGGACTGGAGAAAGGCCAGTTTGACTATGCGCTTGCTTAGGGACTGAGAATTATGGAAGCTTATCTAGCACTCTGATAAAGAAGGAAAAATCCTGGAATGTCTCTTTATTTTATTCCTCGTTTACATTTTTTCAAATATTGTATGAGTTGCAACATACAAATATGCACACAGTGAATTTGATTTTAATTAAATACCAAAGCAAGTTGAATTTTTGAAAGTAGATTAGTGAATTTCCTCACTGGCAAAAAGATAAATGTTACATTAGCAGAACTTTTCTTCAGAATGCATTGGAACAATATATAGTGTATGTGATCTGTAACCAGCTAAGAGACACTAGAGCATGTCTTCTCTTGTGTAGTTTTTTTTTATCATTAACAAGAGTCTGTAGAGGAAGGTGTCTTACAAATGAGGTAAGAATGTGTTTTTATGATCTGTATGTAGTAAATTAGCTTTTCAAGCTCCACAAGACTTTTCTTACTCTATCTGTCATCCTCTGAAGATAAGTGACAAAGTTTCCCATACTGTCAGATAAGATTGAAAGGGCGAGAAAACATCAGAAGAAAAAATTTCCTCCATGTTTTCCCAGGTATTCAATAAGATGTTCTTTCTTAGCATTAAGCAGTGATTAAGCTACTTAATACTAACAAATCACTGACTGTAATCTTTGTTGTGAATAAGATAGGGAATGATTTTGGCCTATTTTTGTCTTTTTTGTCAAAACTGATTTCTATTAAGATAGGTTTTTGCATTGTTCTTACAACAGCTTATGCAAACAAATTTCAGTCTTGCATGTATTTCAAACCCTGTGTTTCCAGCATTCACTCAGTCTGTTTATTTGGTGTGTAGGTCACACTGCATTGTTTTTGTTTCCTAATTAAATGACTGAAACATTGGTGCTAAGAATCAATAAATAGCCAACACCCTCTTTACTGAGAAATGTCTTTGCATGTATTTGTACAATGAAAACCCATTCCTAGAAGTCAATGTAAACAAAAATCTCTCTGCATGATTGATCAGGGAAAGAAAGATTTAAAAGACTGCATAAAATTTAATAGAACTACTTAGAGTCCAAGTGGATGTTTGCAAGCGTTGTTTAGCAGCATTGAAATACTATAGTGGTAACAACATTTGATGTACTGCCAGGAGGGAAAAGGACACGCTCCTGAACACAGAAGTCCTGAAAAAGGTCCTAGAGCTGCCAGGCTTCTGAAACATTTCATGGAGTGGGGAAGGGAAGGCAGGCGCATGCTCCCTGTTGTCAGACAAAGCTTTAGATTTAGCTATTTCACTTGTATTACAATAGTGACAAGCAGTTGGGAAGTTTTCCATTGTGCTTTGGCTTGCAGACTGTAAATGGACAAACAAAGCCAGTCCCATAGCTGGTACAGCTGGCGCTTGCTGACTCATCCGAGCTGAGGCTCTGACTCTCGCCATGGCACTTCGAGCTATTTATTTCCCTTTGCTGCTCGTCCTGTCCGTCGGTTAAAGGTTGCAGCTATTTGTAGCAGAGGCAGTGGAAGGAGGGGAGGCCATGCGTGCTGACTATCACAGTTCACAGGAAGGCAACCGGAGCCCTAAACGCAGCTCCCTGACGAGTTCACAGAAAGAAGCTGGGCTGTGATCCATCACCGCTAAAATACAAGCACAGCTTGTTGCAGGGGTGGTAACCATTGAAATGGAGGGGGCAGAAGGGGACAGGAGTTCTCCAGAAGCCATGAGATACTGGCTTTAGCTACATTATCTACCAGTGCCAGGGCACCTAGGTCAATGCAAACTCAAACTTTCAGATCATTTCCCAAAGGTAACAATAGTGTGGCACACAAGAAATGTTCTGCTTGTTGCACCAGTGCTGCCTAAAGCAACATGTTGTCAATATTTATGAAGAAGCAGTAACGGCATTTCTCCCTCTGGCCTGGGATTTCTCTCTTGTGTCAGGGTCTGTTTGTTTGAAGACTCTATGAATTTTATTTTCTTTTAAAAGAAAAAGACTTTTCCTCATAATTGCACCTAAAGAGGGAGGTGATGACTCTGATCAAAGGAACGTAGCATAGTGTTCAAGTGAGGCTATTTGATTCTTGCGTGGAGTTTGGAAGTGGCTAACTGAGGACTGTTTTGGAGAATTAGCTGGCCAGCATGTCTGGTATGTTTGGAAGCATTCCAAGGAGATATTTTTGTAAACCACTGGGATAAGTTGGTCTACTAGGGGGAATTTAATACTGCCGGGCAGTCACTTTAAGTCAGCCTGTCCATGGATATTGCTAAATTGACTGTCACTAAGATAGGAAATTCACACCAGTTCCCCCACTGTGGCAGAAACTTTTTCCTTCATGCTCTCAAAGTCTCACAGAAGTTTTCTGAAGACATGCTGGTGGTTCAGTTTCATGACAGCTCACTTTTCCTTTACCTGGAGAATCAGACCAGACTTTGAATGGAAAGAGTACTACTCCAGTCCACAAAGTAGCCTCTGGCACATTGCTATACCTAACAAGAATATGTATTCACTGTGGAATGACCTGAAATGTTAATAAGCTTGGAAAGGGAGAGTCTGTGTGCTAATGCAGCTGTGTTCAGGCAGGTCTGCAGCTCTGCATCACTCTGGTATTGGCTTTTGCTTATTATATCAGTTTCTGTAGAAAATCCTGTGCAATCTTTAAAAACTCTTTTTATAATCAGTATTTCTTGATATAATTTAAGCAAATATACTCTTACATACTGTGGAGAAAGAGGGAATATGTGTAATTTTTTAATAAATACCACATTTATGTTAGTTTGTTCAATCTAAATACAAGGAGTTTAAGTCAAAGGGCTACTGGGGAGAGGTAAAGCCAAAAAAGGATGGAGACAAAACTCCTTATTGATAGACACCAGGGAGTAAAGCTATTACTCCATTGAGGATGTCAAGTCTTTTCTATCTCAGTCATGACCCTTAAATGAAAGCGCTGGCCTAACAGCACAGAGCTGAGACGGAAGCCTGTTCTCAGCGACGTCTGGGGTGCACATGTGTGAGAACAGCCCTGGTGCTGCTTCTTCACTGCAGTCAGAGGTTTGGGTGCAACTTGTGCAGACCTGAACTACCTTTGAAGTAGCTCAGGTGTCAGGAATGATATAGCCACAGAAATCCACAGCTCTGTGCATTCTGCAGGAGCCACGTAGGGGTTACTGCTGGATATGTACACATGTGTTGGACCTCAGTGAAATGCATCTGCCATTGCTATGCAACTAGCAGGACCTGAGCTCTCTTTCAAAGAGAGGTGAAGTTGGAATTCAGCAGTACAGCTGTGCTAGCGGGGAGAGAAAAAGAACCCATCAACCGATGCAGCTGGCAGCAGGGCAAACTTCTCCCTCACTAGGGATGGGGTTTATAGAATTGAATGGACTTTAAATTAAAGTTTCGGAGAAGGGAATTTTCTGTAAATAAGAGGAAATATGAATTCAAACTTGTCTTATTTTTACTTCTTGTTCTGCCTGCCAGGTACTCTGAGCAAATGCATAATGTTTGATTTTGACAAAGTGGTCTATGAAGTGTAACTTAGCTTTTACCACACATGCTCCCAGAAGAAGGCCTGGAGGTACCTGATGTGTGGCTACATGGCCCTGTGAGCCTAATGGGATTGTTACACAGGGATTTTGCAGGTTTGGAGCTCTACACAGAGATGCTAGAGTTACACATGTGAGACCTGGTCTCATGGAATGCTTTCAAGAAGTCTAGCTTAGGAGTTGGTAACCTCAGTTCTGATCTGCAGAGTATTTAGTAGGAATTTATACTCAATTTGATGCAAAGATCAACAAACTTGCCCATGTCAATGACCACTGAGAAGCAGTCCACAGACCACCAAGAACTGCAGGAAAGAAGCCAAAAATCTTTGATCTACAGCATGACTGGATCTGTGGCCATGACCTGAATTCTCTCCAGCACAAAATCTAGTTTTTTTTCATCCTGGTTAATTGAACTATGCTTAATCTGTAAAACGCAGCAAGTGCCTATTCATACTGACGTAGTTTTCACAAAAATAAAGCTATTATTCTGACATTTCACATCCTCTTTTCAGTGGTTCTGGAGTTCTGCAGCAAAGTTTTGGACTTTTTTTTAATATATAGATTTGATGTAATTTTTACAGCATTAATAGGTGAGGCTGCTATAGCTTCTGTTCTTTAGTCAGCATCACTGTAAAAGCAGCTGACACTACAGCAATTTTTCTTTCTTCCCTCTTGTAACACTAACTAATCCATCCCCATCCTGCCCTTAGGTGTCTGCATTGTTGTATTCAAGGTCTTTTTCAAGGCAGATGTGAAGAAGACGTATTGCCAGTGCTAAAGTAAGATCTGTGAAGCATAGTCTTCTGTCCCATGTTGAAGTCACTGTGCACTAGTCAACAGGATTAGAACATGCATCCTTCACTTCTGGTGTAAGTGTAAAACATAGAAAGCTGAAGGAAGTGTGATAGGACTTACTACAAGCTCTGTTTTTTACTGTGGGAGAGCCAGTGGTATGGCAGCTGCACCCAACCTGGTATTTAGACCAGTGCAAGATCTCCAAGGGAACTGGAGGATTTGGTGCAGTGCTGCTGTCCCAGCAACTTAATAACCAGTGCCTGAACGAGGCTGTATTTGTATCTTGTGGGTTTGATTTTCAGTGAGATTCTCTACTTTTACCTGCATTGGTTTAAAATCTTACTTTGCTTCCTAGAACTGGTGTTAGAGGTTTAAACACAGAAAACTGTTACTGAGAATTACATCTAAGCAGACAACTGCTTTACACACAATGAAGCCATAGCAAAAAAAAATAAATCAGATTTTTGACTCTCTGTTCCATATAAAGAAAAAATTACAAAGGCTGGAGTCAGAACATCTAGGGATTACATCTTAGAGTAAAGTATGTTTAACAGCCCCCAGTCTGAGACAAGAGAGACTCACACATAACGCCAGACCTTTATCTTTGTGATTCCATGGCTGATGCTGGTGATCACTTCAGGCTCCAGTGTAAATCAAAGCAGATCTAAAAGTCTTTAATCGTGTGACATTAGTCACAGTATCCTTGC